CCCCAAAACCCCAAAACCCCAAAACCCCTTTGAGGAGTACAACAAAATACTTATAATACAAATAAATAAAAATGGAATCCACTCAACAAAGTACTATTCCCTCTAACCCTAACACAGCTTCCTCAAAACCCAAGTGGGACTGGAGACACTGGAAGCAATTCCTTAAGAAAAACTGTATTATTAATGAAACTAGTAGTGCGAATCCTGTTTTAAATGGAGAAATCAGCTGAGAAGCTGATATGAAAGGTGAGTAAAGGAAGAGATTTGGGATTTTGATTGGGATTTGACTGGGATTTTGACTGGAATTTGGGTATAGATGAGACCAAGAAGGACCCTTATGAAGAGCTGAAGGGGGGATTTGAAGGAGAGGATAAGAGAATTCCCATGATCTTTACGGACAAACTTATTCAGGATAGACAGTATGAGCCGAGTGTTGTAAATGAGTTTAATGTGGTCGGAGAGTTAGGGAAAGGAGCATTCTCTGTGGTATATCTCGCTGAGAAGTAAGTAAAAATGCTTAACCATTCATATCTTTGGAGTACCCGTATTTTAAAAGTCTTTGAAACTTCTAATGGCTTTAGATCATACACTTTTCAAAAATCTTAACCTAATTTCTAACTTACTATTTTATGGATACAACCATGTCTTATTTTTATTTTAGAGAAGTTAATGGAGAAAAACAACAATACGCTTTAAAGCAAATGTCGATTGAGCAACTTAAAAAGGACAAAATTACAGTCTATACTATTGATAAAGAACAGGAAATCTTAACCTCATTACAGAAAGTGTACATGGAGAGTTACCAGATGGCTAAAATTTCAAAATTTAATCATCCAAATGTTATAAAAATATTCGAGATTATAGAAGACGATTCAAAAGATACTATCTACCTTGTCATTGAATTCTGCCATTTCGGACAGATCTCAGACTGGAACAGGTCTTCAGATAAATACATCAGAAATCAAGCACTGATTGATCATCTAGTAGAAACTGAGTTTGAAGGGGAAGACTTCAAGAACGAGCATGAAAAGATTGAGAAAGTTGGCAAGTTCATCTTCAAAAAGGTTTTGGAAGGGCTTAAATATCTTCATGACAATAATTATGTTCACAGAGACATCAAGCCAGACAATATTTGGTTCTCTAAGGAAGGAAATAATCCTAAGATAGGTGATTTTACGGTCACTCAGTATATTCCAAGCCATGACTTCATGTTGATGAGCAAGGTTGGAACTCCATTGTTCATGGCTCCTGAAATGGAACCTCCTGAAGTAGATGACGGTATTTCAAAGCTTTTCATATATAGGTCTTGATCTAGATAATATTGATTTTGATAATCTTGGAGATGACTCAGGCGACGATTCAGAAGATCCAACAGAACAAAAGCATGAATTCTTACCTCTTCCTACAGATATTTGGTCAATGGGAGTTACTATTTTCAGTTACTTTGGTGAAAATTGCCCATTCAATGGAGACGTAGAATATCAGATCCTTCAATCAGCCCAGAATGATGAGCTTCCAAGGTTAGATGACTACAGTGAAGAGCTGAATCAGCTTCTTGCAGCAATGTGCCACAAAACTCCAACCGAAAGACCATCAGTTCAAGAAGTATTAGACCATGCTTGGTTTACTACTTAAGAAATAGTATCAATTCTAAAAGTAGTACATTTATCAATCAAAATTTAGTAAAAAGGGGTTTTGGGGTTTTGGGGTTTTGGGGTTTTGGGG